CAGGTGGCAGCAGCCGCTGTCCGGCTCCGCCTGAAAAGTGGCGCCTGATGAGTCTCCGCGAGCAACAGCAGGTCGGAGGGAGTCTGAGTAGCCCCTTTCCCACGTCCACCCCATTGCCTGGCCGCGACGCGGGGTTGCATCCCATCCGCTTCGCAGAGGATGGAGCCGCGYGGTGTCTTTCCCGGTCGCGCGGTCACAGGTAGCCCGTGTGCTCCAGGCGAGGCTGTGGGCGGCTTTGCCCTGGTGTTTCAGTGCCTGGAGGCAGCTTTGCCCTGGCGTTTCCGTGCCGGGGGCGGCTTTGCCCTCGTGTTTCCATGCCCGGGGAGCCGCGGGAAGGGGCATCCTGCAGCACTGCCCCGAAGCGAAGCGTGAAGCGTGGCAGGGCCCTGCCGTGCGGCGTGGGTAAATGCAGGGGTGCGCGGGAGCCAAGGTGATGGGCTGGTGCGGTGTGCAGGTGGTTTTCCCGCTCTTCTATCCTGATCAGTAGCCTGCGGTTTACAGGGCTCCTGCATGAGAATTTATAAAGTCATTAAAAACCACTTTAATGGAAAACACTAACCATCCATAATACAGCATCTGTTGTTGTGTCGTTGGAAAAACACGTCTAAATTAAGAGAGGCAGAGACAGCGAGCCAGACGGGTGGGTTTTCCGCCGAAGCTACCAGCTGGCCAGGGCTGCCGGGGACTATTCGTGGAAACTCCTTCCCATCTGTGGCACGAGGAGAGGCCTCGGCTGCTCCCCATGTGCTGGGCAAGGAGGGCCAGGGAGGGAGGTGAGGAGCAGCTCTGTGGTGGGTCTGTCTCGTCTCTTCCCTAGGAGGGTGTGGAGACACGAGGGAGGATTCACAGAAAAAAGTATGGAGGAAGAGCCGCAAGAAGCTCTTGCTTCCCCACGCTTCRTCCATGCAGCCCGGAGAGCAGGGAGTGTCCTCTGCTATTATATTGGGATGAAGCGGGCAGTAGCTTGGGGCTGAGCAGTAGGGATGGCGGGAGATGCCAAGGTGGAGGGGATGGCAGGACATGCACGCGCTTTGCAGGTTCTCTGCTTCTGACCTTGTGCCATGGTGCATTTTACAGGTCTCCTGCAGGAGAATTTATAAGGTCGTTAAAGACACTTTAATGGGAGATGCTAACCATCTATAACACAGCATCTGCGGTTGTTTCCTTGGAAAAGCGTGTTGAATTAGGGGAGCCAGGCACGCAGAGCCCCACTGGCGGCTTCTCCACCAGCTGGCCAGGGCTGCAGGCCTCTCTGCTCCGACACCAGAGCTGCTCGCGGCTGCGTTGAGACGCTCACGCTTTGCAGACGTTCAGAGCAGAAGGGGCGGCATGGGCAGCACCTCTGCCCTTCGGGAGCCGGCTCGGGTTGCTGGCCGGCCTGGCCGGAGGCCTCCAGCTGCCTCCCAGTTCTCCCTGGGCACGCGGGCACAGCCTCTGGACGCTCTGGTCCCTATTGCCGTGCGCTCACATGTTGGAAAAGCCTCTTCCAGCAACAGGCAGAGAGGCGCCCGGGGCAGCAGTTTGGGCGTTTCTCTGTCTCTCCCATCCTGACGCTGGCAGCCAAGGAGCTGCAGGCGGCTCCGCAGGGTGTTCCCGCCACCCTGCGCCAGCCGGGCCTCAAGCTGCTCGCGTGTTTGCTCCGGGAGGATGAAGCAGTCCCTTGGAAGCTGCCGAGGCCGGCGTACCAAGCAGAGCATCTGCATGTCTGGGCTCGGGGATTTCTCTCCATAGCCTTGGCTCCTCCTGCCCACATGCGTGGGTAGCCCGCAGGGCGCCTGGAGTATATGTGAAATTCACCCCGGGCCCGAGCTTGGGAGGCTCGTGCTGCCCCCCGGGTCAGCAGCGCCGCAACACCTCCCGCGTGCTGCCTTGTCACGGTGAGATCAGATCGAGGCACGTTGTGCCTGCTTAMCCAAAACCGCCAAAGCACCGTGACATGCGGCTGCAGCAGGAGCTTCCTGCCTGCCCCGTGCTCGTGGGCGTCCCGTCTCCCATCGGGGCTGCCCGAATGCTCTGGGAAGGGAGGGCAGGGGCGGCCCACGTGTCCCGTGTGTGCAYGTGCCTTTGCCTCGGCGCAGGGACGGCCCTGGAGCAGAGGCGGGCGATGCTGCAGCGGGAGCWGCCTCACTCGTAAGCGCCGGCTGGCCGCTCGCTCCCATCAGCGGGAACCTCGTCCCGCCGCGGGGGCTGCCAGGGATCCTGCTGTCGGGAGCAGCAGGCACCGCTCTCCTCTTCAGGCCTTTGCCCTGCAGCTCGTGCCTGGCTGGTAGCACGGACAGAGGTCCGGGTGGCCGGGATGGGAGAAGGCACCTGAGATGGCCGAGCTGATGGGCCTGAGACGGCTGAGCTGATGGGCCTGCTGCTGCTGGGGGGAGAGGTGGAGCTCAGCTCTTGGTCCGGGAGCCTGGCGGCCTTGGAAAGGTGGCGGAAGCCCCCAGAGCGAAGATGTGGGAAAATAAAAGCACTGTTGCTGGTAGTGGGTTGCAGAGTGGATCGATTCAGGCCTTAACGGGAAAAAAAAAAAAAAAAAGAAAAAAGGAGCTGCTGGGTTGGGTCAGATCAAATTGCAGACCTGTGGTTTCCCTCAGCGGAGCCCGGTGCAGCGTCACGCTCCTGCACGGAGCTCCAGGGCCCGGACGAAGGGGAGCCTGGAAAGGCCCGGGGGTGTCGGAGGCGACGCGCCGGGAGTGCCGAGCGGCAGCCACGGCCCTGCCTTTGGGCGCTGCCGGGGCACGCGGCSTCGCGCGGCTTCTGCTTGGTAAATCTTCCTGCTTTACGTTATTTCTGTCTGTTCGGTTGCAGGCTGCAGTTTCTGACATGGATTTGCTCGTGATCTGCCCCTTTCTGTTTACACTGGTGTTGTCCAAGGGCAGCTTCGCCGACCTGGAAAAACAGAGGGTGGACTCAGGCTTGGAAATCTGTATCCTTCTCTGCAGGCCTGTGCCTCAGCCCATGAACATGTCCCTGTGCCTGATGAGGCTGGAGGGAGCTCATGTGTATGAAAAGGGTCAAAGACCTTGGAAGGGGCCACTAGAGGGGTGGAAGAGTGGGAATGGAAGAACCTTGAGGCTGTAATTATTGCTAATGAGATTAGAAACGAGCTGGGGAAACGCAGCCATCGCCACCGGATTGCCAGGAAGGACTTGGCTGGGCAGGACCCTGAGCGACCTGATGTGACACGAGAGCTGGCCGCGCTCCGAGCAGGGCTTGGCCTGGAGACCCTCAGAGGTCCCTGCGCCACTGGCTGCTCCGCGGGGAGCTGCGCCCGGCAGGGGCACCGAGGCCGCGCTGGGGCCCTGCGCCTGCTGGGCAAGGGTGAGTGTGAAGGGTGAAAGGCGACTCGAGGTGCCGGCCGGGGAGGGTGGACGTCACTCTGCTCCCTCCTGTGCCTCGGGCACTTGGCACCCACAAGGAGCAACTAGAGGCACCTGCTGATGCGAGCGCTTCCTGACACACGCCAGCGTGCCCTCGTGAGCGAGTGGGGCATGAAAAGCAAGAGGGAACCCCCCTTCCAGCCCGGATGCCCTGCTCCGGAGGCCTGGCTCTGTCACTTGCCCCCAGCTCCGTGTGGCCCCCATGTCACCGGGGCTGGAGCAGCGTCTCGTGCCCGAGGGAGCTTCCGGAAGGGCTGTGTGCGAGGGGGGCTGCGCGCGTGGCAGGGCCTGCGGGCAGCTCTGCGGTGCCCTTGACTGCGCTGCAGATAAGAAGCTGTTCGAGGTGAAGCGCAAGGACCAGATGAACGCGCTCAAGAACCTTATCGAGCTCAATGACGTGAACCAGCAGTACAAGATCATCGACATCATGCTCAAGGGACTGTTCAAGGTGAGGTGTGGGGYGGGCTCGCTGCCCCACTGAGCGTACCCAGCGCCAGCTCCCCGCTCCCTCCCTTTGCTGGGGCTGCACGGCACCTTGTGCTGGGGCTGCCCCGGGCCAGGACGTCCTGCCGGGACAGCGAGCAGAGGAGCGATGGCCGCAGGGAGCRTCGTGGCGCTGAGGAGAAGCCGAGGGGGGCAGAGTGGGGTGCTGGGGGAGCGAGGAGCCTCCCAGGGCTGCCCCCAGGGCCTGCGCTGAGGCTCGGTGGGCGAGGGGGGAGAGCAGGTGAGACGGGCAATAACCGAGTGCGTTTCAGGTGCTGGAGGACTCCCGGGCTGTGCTAATAGCTGCAGATGTGCCGCCAGATGGGCCTTTTCCTCAGGATGAGAAGCTAAAGGATGGTAGGTGATCCCCGGTCATCGAGCCCTGTTCCCTTTTCCATTGCTGTGCTGCATCTCATTCTCGTGTGAGATTTAAAGCTAGATCCCATGCAGCTCCTGGAGAACGTGCTGCACGGATAGGACGAGGGGACAGCCCTGCCTGTTGCAGCTGTCCCCAGACCCTCCTGCTCCCATTGCCCACGTGGCACCGAGCTGATCTGGCTCTTGGGAGCCTGTGTGACCTCCCGCATCCCTGATCTCTGCAGCYGGGAGCTGCTCCGCATCCGTCCTCGGCTTCCCACAGACACCAAGAGCTGAACCCCCGTGTGCTATGGGGGCCAGGGGCTGGCGTGGGCCGGCAGCCCCCACTGCGTGTCCGTGACTCGGCTGGCGGGACGTGGAAGGCGGGTCATGGGCTCTTTGGAAGCAGCTTTTCCTCCCGGGTCTGCGGGGATCTGGGCTCACGAGAGGCGCAAGCGGGGCGGTGCGCGAGGCGCCCTGGCTCTGCTCCGCAGCGTATTCCCACGTGCTGGAGAACACGGCCTTCTTCGGGGACGTCGTGCTGCGCTTCCCCAAGATCGTGCACCACTACTTCGACCGCAACTCCAACTGGAACAACCTCATCCGCTGGGGGATTGGCTTCTGCAACCTGACGGGGGTGTTTGAGCAGGGACCTCACTCCCAGGTCCTGGGGCTGGTAAGGCTGAGTCCTCCCCATCACGTTGCATCCCATTGCATCACATCCCATCCCTTGTGCTGGGGGACAAAGCATGGCAGTGTGCRCAAGGAGAAGGGGCCCAGGATGGAGGGAAGCCTTTTGGAGGAGGCAAGGACGTGGATTGCAATGGGCCAGCGCGGCGGTGGGAGATGGGAGCAGCTCTCTGACATGGACCCTGCTTTGCCCTGCAGATGGCTCAGGAGCTGGGAATCAGCGAGAAATCTCCTGATTACCGCAATCCCTTTAAAAGCGACCACTCGGAGGTAAGGCAGCCGAGCCCCGGGCTGCSCCTGCGGGGGTTTCCTCCTCCTCCGGCCTCGGGCAGCTGGCTGGGGAAGGAGAACGTCCGCCTGGGGGAGGAACGGCCGCGTGTGTGCCCGGGAAGGGGGCACGGGAGGAAGCCTGGTCTGTGGCTCCGCTCTTCCCTGCTCCTGTGTGGAAAGGAAGGGGGGTGGGATGGTCTGGGGTGCAGGTGGCTCAGGGAAGAGCCGAGAAGCCGAAACCAAGTGTTCACGTTGAATGAAAATGCTGTGATGTTGTTCAGTTGGGCAGCTGGCGTTAGGCGCCTGGTGCTCTGGTGGCATCTCCCTTCTCCTGGCTGGTTCCCTGGTGGGAAATGGGTGTAATGGAGCTGCCTGCTGGGAGAGGCTGGACCCGATGCTGCCCGCTCTGCTCTGTCTCATCTAAAGCCCCTTGAAACCGCAGTGCTCGTGCATCAGCTTCGGAGGGGGTGACATGGCTCGCGCTTCCAGGAAGCGATGCCGGGAAAGCCCGGCTGCGCCCGGCCTCCCGGCCTTGCAGGTTCAGGGCAGGAGGAAGGGCGACGCAGCCGGTTCCTCTTCAGCTTGATTGGTTTTTAATTGCTTCTCCAAACTGGCGTGCATCTGCTTCCCTGCCGTTACGGACTGGCAGCAGCGCCTCCGCYTCCCTGGTCTGGCATCTCCCGCCGGGCACCACGAGCCCTGTGGGAGCCGGCGCTCCTCGCTGACCCCTGCCTTTGCCCGCAGTTCTTCCCCGGCGCGGACACCTTCCAGAAGGCGCTGCGGGACGAGGAGAAGCGGCGGAGGAAGGAGGAGAAGCGCAAGGAAATCCGCAAGGGCCCGCGCATCTCGCGCTCGCAGTCCGACCTGTAGCGCCGGCGGTGCCGCCGCGCGGAGCGGCGCGCCCGGACACGGCCCCCCGGCAGCCCCGGGCCCTTCCCTTGCCGTTTGTGCCGTGGGTTTTGTTCAGTTACGTTTCCTGTTGGCTCGGAGGGTCCCGAGGACMAGGGAGTCTTGTGGCCAAGGCTCCGGGGTTTCCCCAGGGAGAGGGGGGTCTGGAGCTGGCGCCCCTTCCCCAGAGCCAGAGCACAGCTGGGGCCGCTGCCGTTCCGGCTGCGACGGGGCTGTTCCCGAGCCCTCGGGAGCCTCCGGCTGCCGGAGAAACACAGCGCAACGCACAGGAAACCGGCCGCCTCCGTCCCGGGAGCTCGCGGCCGAGCAAGCAGACTCACAGCGATGCTGCTGCTTCTGGGATATTTCCTTTTTTTTTTTCTCCTTTAACCTGGTGACGTGATGTTGTTTCTACTCTCGCCCAGCCAGGTTATACCTGCTCTCTGCCYGGCCCATATCCCCGTTGCCTGATCAGCTCTTCCCTTCTGGAGGAGGCTGCTTTACGGAGCAGCTGGCGTTTTGCCGAAAAAGCCAAAGGAGCCGCTTCCCGGCCGGCCCGTGTCCTGAGTGGCTCCCGAGGGGTTGCTCATGGGACGTTGGGATGCACACGGGGAATAAAGCTGCGCTTGCAGCAACGGACATGGCCTCTCCAGCCACCCCTTCCCAGCCGATGCTCCAAGTGCGGCGGGTGGAGGAGACGCATCCGAGGTGTCTGGGGGTGGGAAAGGGGTTGGAGCGATGTCCTGCRGCCGCGCTGCGCAGGCAGGAGCCCTGTGGCCCGAGGGGCTTGCAGGACTGGTAGATCGGGGCAGGACTGCAAGGACTGCAAGGAAGAGACGGAGCCGCCCCAGCACCGCTGCTGCCACTGGGTGCTGGGAGGCACCCGTTATTTTTCAAGGCGGAGACAGGTACGTTGGATGAGGGTGCAGGAGCTTGCATTGAAACGGGAGGTGTTTTTTTTTCTTGAATAAAGCTGTTTTTTTTAAAAAAAAAAAAAAAAAAAAAAGACCCTGTTTCTTGTGCTTCGGGTGGCAGCGCTCCCAAAGTGGGTGCGAGCCCAAGGGTGCCGCTCGGTGGTGGGTCTGGCCGCGAGCGCGGGGAAGCGGCAGGGGTCGGAGCCGCTCTCCCGGCCGGTGACCGGGAACGGGAGCCCCTTCCCACAGCCCCCTCCGGTAACGAGCCGGGCCGCGGCCGCCGAGCCGCCCTCCTCCCCGCCGCGGCGCCCGCGGGCCCCGCCCCTTCATGAATATTCAGCGCGCCGAGGGGGCGGGGCGCGCTATGCTAATCGCACTGCTGATCGCTGACGCGCCATCACCCCACGCGCCGCCGCGCCCGCCGATTGGCCGCGGGCGACCTGGTCTCATTGACAACAAGCGGCGGGGGGCGCGCGCGCCGCCGC